ACGCCACATAACGATGTTTCATTCAACAACGGACCGCATATACAATGGTGGTCCCATAAGGTTAGTACCATATGGCCTAGGTGTGCAGCGAGCTATACCATCTACATTTGTGTAAGTACACGCTATGATAGTCGCACAACAAAATCGCCTAACGATGCATTTCTCAGACAGCATCCCTGTCATTAAGCGACGCATGACTGTGTAGTGGAGAGTTCCAGCAGTCTACCAAAATCCATTTTCCACTTCTTCCTGAGCACAAGTCAAGACTACACTTCCCAGCCACCCTTGTAGTTAGGTGTCATCGTCCTGTCCAGTGGACCGTGAGCAGAGCCATGTCTTACACTGCTCGGATCAGGCCTTCAGGGAGTGGGCATGCCTCCTCCATAGTTTTTTTTTTCTTTCTCGCAAGTGGAAACTTGGCTATGCCTATAACCAGCTTCAACCATGTAGATGACAATTCTTCCAAGGAGTAGGAGGATGGCAGAGGACAGATCAAAAACTTGGAAGGAACCTATGTCCTTAAACAACTGTGGAACAGAGCAGCCTGCATCTGGAACATTCACCTTGGACTGTCATATGAAAGAAATAAATTTCTCTGTATTTTAAGTCACTGCCCCATTGGATCCCTTTGAGCAGCAGCTTAGACTTTGGCCCTAACTGATACAGAAATGATTCTCAGATCAGGTCAGAAGGGGAGTCCTCAGGTCCCACCTGCTTCTTTACCCGTTCTCAATACATCATGTCATTTCAAAGAGAGACAACCCTCTGCCGAGCCTGGGGCAATGATTCCCCCAGCCTCCAAAATCTTTGCACAGGAGAGCAGCTCACTCCTAGCAGCAGCCACGTCTCCAGCGCTCCCTCTGGAAGAGTTTGGTGCTCTCTTCTTACATGGCAGCCAAGGACCTCAAGCTGTGGTGCGGAGTGACCTTCCTTCTGAGCAAGAGAAGTCCAGTCCATTGTCCAGGGAGTCTGTATCTCCTACCAAGGGGCCAGCAAGGGATGGTGAACGCAGGAGTCATGAAATACGTGGAAATTATTAGAATGCCTACAGCTTTTAGACTCTTGTATAAGAAGAAAATAATCACTTTTACAAATTGGATCACAAATACTGTGGAGGATATTCTGTATGGATTCATAGAACGAGGTATACTGTACCACCCAGAGAGAGGCAACACGCTTAACGATCTTTCCCTAAGGTGATTTTTGTTTGGGATTTAAAAAGTGATAGAGATCAAAGAACTTGATATGTTTGAGGTGTGAGTGGATTAATATAAAGGGTTCATGTACGTTACTATATAACTTCTTAATTAATATATAAGTTGCAACAGAACTTTCTGCATTGAAGGAGATGCTCTATATCTCCACTGCCCAATATGGAGCCACTAGCCACAGGGGGCTAATAAGCACCTGAAATGTGGCCGGTGCAAATGAGGAAGTGGACTTTTAATTGTATTTAATTTTACAAAATTTACATTTGACTAGCCACCTGTGGCTAGTGGTTACTGAATTAGACATCCCAACTTTGGACCAAAGGTCAGCATAGTTTCCTGTAAAGGGCCAGACAGTAATCTTTTAGACGCTGTGAGCGATGTGGCCTCTCTCACTGCTCAGCCCTGTACTGCAGTGCAGAAGCAGCCATAGACAATATGTAAACGAATGGCCACAGCTGTGTTCCAATTAGATTTGATTTGCAAAAACAGGACTGCCTTAGCCTCACTGAAAAAGTTGTAAGTACTTTCTGTGATGTTTTCAGTCACTAAGGCTGAGAAATACATTCACAGCAAAGTGTTAGTGACAATATATTTCAATATCTGGATTTTTTTCCCCTTTGGTAAAGACCCAGGGAAAGAGGTGCTTAACCCAGAAGAGCGGATCTCAAATTTCAGCATTTCACACCCTGTGGGACTTGGTAGGAGAAAACTTGGGGGCAGGATGGCTTTCCTTCCTTGTGCCCCCACAAACCACAGACCTGAGCAGACCCTTTCTCTGCCTTCTTTCCTGGGCGTTGCTCTCGGCCACAGGTGCCGTCATGACCTGTTCCACGGGCCCTTTATCCTGACACAGCCCAGAAGTGGATGCGAAAACGCCCTGGCCGGTGTGTCTTACCAAAGCAAACTGTCCTTTCAGAGCCCGTTTCTCTTGTCACCTTTATTCAGTGCCAAGATTTGAAGATTAAAAGGTACATAAATCAAATCTTTTACCACATGGTAAAGTCAAATCAATATATTCAATTTCCCAGAGTCTCAGAGAAGCCACGTTTCATTTTTAAATTTTACCTCAAAAGCCCTAACTGGTGAATACAGGATACCTTATATCCTGCACATTAGAGCTCAGTGAGAAAGAGAAACTGAAGAAAAGAGCATCCCAGGGCCAAAGAGTGGCAGCAAATGGACTCAATAATGAACAATCTGGAGCCGTCTCAAAAGGAAACACTTTGCACAATCAGAGTTTTGGTTTAACATTAATTAGAGAAACATTTAATTTTAGCCCACATTTTCACCCCAAAACACTGCTGTGTGATATGGAGAAAGCTCTTCTTCCCCCGCCCAGAAGTGGTGGAGGGAATTGTGGCCTGGAGAACAAATGCTGATCATTAGGGAAGCACGCCGAGAACGCACAATAGCCTCAAAATCGTATCATTAATAGTTTCCTCTTGTGGTCATTCTGGAGGAAAACACGTCTTTCAATGAGGTTATAATATTCTCAATATTGACTAAAAAATGCTCACATACATGCGACCTCCGGAACAAATTAAAAACAAAGTTATTGGAGGCATGTATATATACACATAGGAGCCATATGTTTGTGTATATATATCTATATATGCCATGTATATAATCACGTATATACACCATTTTTCTTTTTCTCTAGAATGCTGCATTGCCTCCTAAACTTAGCATTAAGAGTTGTCGGCAACGCATTGCCTACTTGTGGTGCTTCTTAGAACCCACGTTCTGAGAGAACAGTCCTGAGGATTCCAGACAAAGTCTAAATGAGGACCAGCAGTAGTGACCGGTTCCTCGGATTGCCTCCTACTTTCTCGCTTGCGTTTCTCAGGACTCCTTGCCCACCAGTCCTTCCCACTAGTAAGAGCAAACGTGCCTCCTGGCACCAGTGCCCACAGCCCCGCTCCTCTTTAGTCAGCAGGGCAATGCCGGCATCTACCGCCTGGCTATCAGTGGGCACGTCCTGTAAGAACAGCCCGACTTTACAGTGTTGAGCCAGCCAGGTTGCACCAGAAGCCAATGAAAGAACTCTCCAGAGTGAGTCAACAGGTACAGGTAGAATGGAGGAGGTGGGGACAAAAAGAGCCCCAAAGATGCCACGCCCTTCTAATATTTCGGCGAAGAGAAAGAAGAGGAGGAACACAGAGAAGAGAAAGGAAAGACATACGAGGGGAAGCCCATGCCGAAGGCAACCTGATTGCTTCCTGCCCCCTTCCTGGGTCCCACCTCTCGGGGCTCCACCGTAAGCCATGTGCCACGAACTTGCCTTCCATCATCTCGGAGTGTGGTCACCAATGCAGGTCCCCTGTCAGGGGGCTTTATTTGTCTGGAATGCTCACAAAGATTTTGACAGCACAAAGTCATGCCACTTGTCTCTGTGAGTTAGAGAGATGCTGGGAGCCTGTCCTGCTCAGACAATGACGGCTGCAAGGACCTCTCCTCCTTAGAGCCGCAACGTGCCCAACCACATTCGACAGAGCCACAACTAAACACTTCCTTAAACCCCTTGGCCAGGGGAACCACATTCCCCACCGCCTGCCCCCAAGGGCCAGTTGAGGTTCTTGGTGCCCCTCTGGGGTTGTCTTGGGCGGAAGAGCCCCACAGTTCCTAATTCCAAAGTGTGTAAGGAGTGCGAGAGACCTAGAAATCCAGACCTGGTCAGTCCTGCTCTAGACACGCTCGAGACCCACCAACCACTAAAACCTATAGGAGCCTTTTACGTTTGTTTAGGGTTTGCAATGTGTTGTAATCCCCACAAACTCTCCCATTCCCTTCCCCCCCCCCCCAAAATACCCCAGCCACTGGCCAGAAGAACTCAGACCTCCCTCCATGGAAACTGTTCATCAAGTTCTGGCTCAGAAACGCAGGTCAACATAAGTGGAGTGGAACAGCACTGAACTTGAATGAGATGCTCTGAGTTCTAGTCCATCATCAGGATATTCACTTAAACACGCAGTCTCCTTATGTAAATTAAATGACAGTTGAAAGTATGCCCAGCTCTCAAATTCTATGACTCTCTTAAAAAATGACCAAATCTACGATAGCGTGGCAAAGCCCTAGGAGTGGAATGAAAGGAATAAAACTGTTCTAATTAAGACAGAGGAGAAATAGCCAAATTAGTTAATTTTTAGGGAGTCAGTAATAGCAGTGTTAGTGATCATTAAAGGGGTGATGATACCTAAGAAAGTCAAGGGTCTTAACAAAGACTTTGAGATAAATTAAGAGTAGAAGCTAAACCTTGCAGTTAGCTCAGATGTAGAATGTAAAGGAGTCCAGGTTATCCTTCACATCAACACAAGAAAAAGCACTTCAGGGAACCGCTTTAGTCAGTGATCCAGCCAGTGTGAAAAACTGTTTGTTGGAAGAGAGAAAATTTTAATGAAAGTTGAAAATTTGGAGAATTTTCTGGTGTGAAGACATGGAGTAGAATGACATGATTCTCCACGGAAATGTGATTTCAAAGAAAGCCAGGGGTTTGTCTACACATTTTAGTGAACTCACAGGTGGCAAAATCTACTGATGCTGTTACCGAACCATTCACAAATTGGATGGAAAAGTCCAGAAATCAGTTTCCCTTGCATATGTAAAATATATACAAGATATATGTACAGGAGGGTTTTTCTCCCCAGCTAAGGTGGTTCACACAGGAGAAAGGTCACTGGACAGTGTTCAGGGGAGGCCAAAGCTGGCATACTGGAGGAAATTCTTTCCCAAGCCATTTCTCCTCTAAGGAGAAGAAACGAGTGAGCATTTGGCCAAGGGCAAGGGACTCACCTTCACTTGGCCATGTCATGGGCCCCATGTTGGCTCAGATGTGCTCTGCCGTCCTATGAACCCCTGGACATAAAGGGTAAGAATTTGTTTTAAAAAAAAAAACAAACATCATCTGCACAGACAATTTTCAAAAGTTCTAATTGAATTTCTCTTATGTTGGAGGAGAAGAAAAGGTGAAGTAGCCAGTCAGTGTGTTAGGAATGATGCCACAGAACGTTAGCATTGTATCCTCTTAGAAATAAAGAGAAGTCTGCAAAGGGGGCCTACACAAGGATGCTCATTGCAGCTCTTTTATTTTATTTAAAAAGTCTAATCACCATCTGTCAGGAGGGAAATGTGCTAGGGTATATCCACAACATAGGATACTAGGCAACCGTTTAAAAGAAATAAAGCCCAGCCTTTGTGTTGAACTGGAAAAATCTCTAAAATACATTGTTACATTAAAAAAACAAGTTACAGGTTAAGACGTACAATGTGAGATAGTTTGTATATTTTAAATCCCACCGTAGGAAATCATGTTTATAGACATATACCACAAATGCATAAAAACAAAGATTTGAAAAACTCCTAAGAGAAGTTGCCTCTGGGAGAGGAACTGATACGTGCTGGGGGTCAAGGGGAATTCCGATTGCGTTATGAAAATGTTTTCAATTGGAATATGTTGTCTATTACATATGACGAAATGGTTGAGATCGGGGATCTGAGGCAGGCTTTGTGTTTTTAAAATTTTAACTTCAACATTTAGTAACTGAGGCAACTTATTCAACCCTGAAAATTTTTCTTATAAGACCAAACAAAGGATCTGAAACCAAGGGTGCCCAGAACAGGCAGGTCATGAGCCAATGGGCGTGAACTCCCAGAGTCCTGAGCCTGCTCTGTCCTGGGGAAGAACACTCGGCTCATGAGCGCAGCAAGGACAGAAGGTTGGGGTGATTCCAGACTTTTCGTTCTTTTATCTCATAAATAGGCCTCCCTTCTTTTTTCAGGAACCTGGAGTTAAGCACGCTTAATTAGATTGCATGAATTAATTCTTAACATCTCAGACTAGGCCAGAAGCTTTAAATAACAAAATTATTTATTATAATATATAGTATATACACACACACACACACAGAGAACCACAATCTCTTCAAGCTATCAATTACAGCCATTAGAAACCAAAGAATTCGGAATCAGTCCTTGACACAAGCTGAGTGATTTAAAGGCAATTTAGAGATGTAATATATGGTTGATTATTTCTCAAAAAACTTTTAAGGGCTGGCCCCGTGGCCGAGTGGTTAAATTCACACACTCTGCTTTGGTGGCCCAGGGTGTGGCCAGTTCAGATCCTGGGTGCACACATGGCACCGCTCATCAAGCCATGCTGAGGCAGCGCCCCACACAGCAGAGAGGCACTCACAACTAGAGTACACAACTATGTACTGGGGGCTTTGGGGAGAAGAAGAAAAAAAAAGAAAAAAGAAGATTGGCAACAGCTGTTAGCTCAGGTGCCAATCTTTAGGGAAAAAAAGAACTTTTAGTTATTCGTTTAAAAAGAAAGAACAAAAGCTCATACGTGGCAGCGCTCTCCTTAGAGGTTCCTAACCGTAGATTGTTTTGAAAGTCTCCAGGTAGATCCTGAGCCTCCCGGGGGCCAAGGGCCTCCTTAAATCAGGTGTCAAGAGCTTGAAAAGGTTGAAACTAACTACTTATTAACTAAACTGCTAACAGGCTATGAGATCTCATTTAAAGAGGTGGTACTTTTACTATTTGAGCACAAACAAGGAAATGCTGTCATACCTTCATCATATGTGCTGTCTGGGAAAACAGTCAGTGAGTATGTGTTTACTGATAGAACTAAGTTCTCTGAGTGATGGCAGAGTGAGTGTCATTTTTAAAATATTCAACTAGCTCAGCCTCGGGGAGAATTTCTAATAACACAGGATTTGCTGTTTGTTTTGTATTTAGCAGGCACTGTAATGAGTTTTCAAAGAGTAAGAGGCTCAAGGACCATTTGATTAAAGTTTTTCAGAAGAGTTCAGTATACACAAACTGTTCATTAACAAGAGCAGAACGTCCCTCGAGGCAGCATTTGGATTTCAGAAATGTGATTTATATTATATGCGGAGCCAAAGCACAGTAGGAATACATATCAGATTATAATAAGGAGATAAGATTTGAAATTCAATTATGGCAAGTACTTGAGTTTCAACAGTGCCTGGGTACACTCTTCAAGAGCATACCAAATGCATAAAAATGACGACAACTTGGAATCATGTTATTATCAAAATCGAACATTGGAGGAACACTTTAACTGAAGGTTTCTATGGAACATTAATTATTCTGAATACAAGTAATTCTAGAGATAATGCTTAAAGAAGGCACGAACCTATGGTGGAGGATAGCTTGTGGTTCCCATCCACTCTTGCTGTTTATCAAACGCTCCTTTGTACAACAGTGTGCCAGGCGCCCAAGGGGCACAGTCAGGAAGTTTTCTCGAGGTGTCTGTGTTTCATGATGGAAAACGAGGCAAATAGACAGGAGAGAGAATGGCACATAGATGAATGACAGCCACTGGGTGCACAGGGAGCCCTCCACTGCCTTGAGCACAGCGAGGGATGCCAAATTACAGCAACTCCCAAGAAACTTATAATAGTGCTCAAGAAACAGAACATACACATGAGATAACTATTTTTATGATAACCAAATAACAATATATCAGAATCTCAGCATCTTGGAGGCAGACGAGAAATTAGAGATGTTAAATTAACCCTTTAATAGATGAAGAAATAGATATATGAAAAAAAGGAACAAACTAATATTTAATGAGTGACTACTATAAGGCAGATAACGTACGGTACATTATCTTATATACATGATCTTGCTTGATACTCATGGCTTCTCTGTGAGGTACACGTATTCCCCTCCTTTCACGGTGAAGGGACAGAGGATAAGAGTTGGGCAAGCTCACACGACTGAGAAGATGTGGGATCAGGGAGCAGACCCGGGTTCCTTTGCCCTCCCTGGTCTTCCTCCAAACCATGCAGGATGGATGAAGTGCCAGGTCCAACTGCCCAAGAACAACGCGAACAACACGTAGGTTCAAGCCCAGCGGAGGTCAATCCGGGAAGTCTTGCCCAGAAAGCTGGAATCTGAACTAAGATGTAAGAAAAACATATTAAGAATAAAGTTAGTAGCGGCTGAGATGGCCTCCACCTCAGTGCTAGTCCGTCTAAGAAGGTAAGCTCCTCAAGGGCCGGCGTACGTCTTATTCTCCCCAGCATTTTTAGTATCTGGCACAGTATCTCAACGAATGCAGAGAGACCCGGCCATGATTGAGAGGACCTGACGTGAATGAGCTGAGGAGGAGAGGAGCAGACCTCACCTGAATCAATAGCTAGGAAATTTGAAATATGAAAAATTGACAGATTTATCTAATTAAGGTATCCCTTCTCTGGCTGCCCTCTTGACCCACATGGGTGGCCCACCTCTGACCTTGGTTGAGAGTGTCCTCTGTTTCACTGAGCAAAAGTCACACCATCAGCCCAAAGGTTAAGGATGGTTCCTCTCTCATTCATCCTAAGAAGCCAGAGTAAAGGGGACCCAGGACCCCAAGGCCACACCAGAAAATATCCCACTGACCCACTAATTACTCACAAACCTGTCAGCTGGAAAACTTTGCCTGGCAACGTTCTCACGGGAGGGGGCACAGACAGAAAGGTCTTAGTCAGCAGCTTATCATCAGTTTTAGTTTTGGCCAAAGCTGGATGAAGTCACATTAATAACTGTTGGACAGAAAGTTCGTTAACATTTGTAAATTGAGAAGACTATCACATGCGGAGGCAGTCTAAATACAGCACTAGGACACTCACCCAAGTGAAAGGAAAGACACAGAGGAAGTGCTGCACGCCCCCCCCCCCCCCGCTCCTGAAGCGTTTGGCGGTTGCGCTGGAGTCTGACTCCCTCCAGAGCGTTCTTTTTTTGAAGCTGGAGGAGGATTCGTCTCATAGAGCAGTAAGGGCTTGTGAGAATCTGAGTCCATCTTCTTGTCACTGGTCGGAACTGGACTCAAATGAGCCCACCTCAAGAGAAGAGATTTTCTTAAAACTCCAGACGTAAAGGTGTAACCATCTTCCTGGACACTCCGATGTCTTCTCTAAGCTTTCACCTTCAGAAAGCTCTTTCCTCGTTCTTTTAACACTGTACTCAAAATATTAGCAACTGTCAAAAATAATAAAGAACTCTTCAAATGGTATTGAGACTGTGACTATGATGGATGACTTTATCTACCATCATTGTTAGTATTCACAATATGACCACTTTTTTCCAGTTTTGGACACCGAAGCCTCAAGAGTTGGTCAAAAATGCACTTAAATTGACCAAATATTTCAACTAGTGAGAATAAGCTTGCACCTGGACCCAGGAGACCCGCCAGGTAGAAGCTGGATAGGTCACACACCTCTTTGAGTCTCAGTTTATTTCTCTGTAAAATGGGAGTAATAATTCACGGGGTTGATCCGAATATTAGACGACAGAGCATAGGAGGAAGCATCTAGCCCAGTGTCTGCTCCTGGCAGGCCTCAGAGCCGTTCGTTAACTCACTGCTCAATCTGAATCACCCACTGTCCACCCAGACGTTGCTGGGTACCATCGAGGCCACACACTGTGAACAGAGAGGTAGGATGACAACAACCAGGAAAAGTTAAGGGAGAAAGCTCAAGTCCAGTGGAGTGTCCCCCAAGCACGGCAGTTGGGACCTAGAGACTCGAACAGTATCTGTGAGAACACTGAGGTATTTGTTAAACTGAGGTCTCTTATCACATTGGAGCTTTTCATTTTTAGAATTTTCCTGTTAATCTCTGCAGGAAAACAGGCATAAGTTTTTATAAAAAGTCAATTTTCTTGACCCTCGTTAAGTTCTCAGCTCGAAAGATATTTACTCAAATGTCACTTAAAGAGGAGAAGGTCAGAAACAGAAAATTCACAAGGACAAAAAGAAGGGAGGTTCCTCAAGGACTGAGAACAGGAGGCAGAAGAGATGCAAATATATGCAAATGAGAAGAAAAAACTGAAAGACTGAAAAACGGACTGGACGTACCATAACAAAATGAAATACAATGACCAGAGATGTTAAGACCTTTTATTTGAAAGCAAGAAGGGAGAGAAGGAAAGGAGAAAGGATAGAAGAGAGTGTAGGAGGGAGAGAGGAAGAAAATTTTACAAAAACTAAGAAGGTGCCACGGTGCACTGCACTCCATCGGGAAGCCTGGGCTTTGCAAAAACTCGCTGGAGGGAGCCAGCAGGGGCCCAAATGCAGCCCTGCTGTGCTTGCCAAGCTCTGACCACTGCCGACAGCAGCCCAAAGAGGATGGCTTTCTCCTAACAGGAGGATCCAGCCAGACAGGATGACTTTCCCCAATTCACATGCCCGCACCATATGAGCTCGCTATGGCCTAGCACGGATATCACATGTAAATAAATAAAGAAAAATCGACAGATGCGTGTATTGACAGTAGACTCTCAGTTCAGACCAGTGTGCTGTCGCTGAGCTAAGAACTAAAACAATCTCCGGCTCTGATTACAGATATTTAAAATCTGGAAGAGTGGTGGCGGGCATCCCATTCTTTGTCACTCCAGTACCTGCAGTATTCTGTTAATTTCAGGGTGTCATGTTTTCAAAGCATATGCTGCAAAGGGAAATAGCAAACTGGAAAGCATTCAGATACAATGAGAAAACACAGCATCTGAGAAAACGTTGAAGACCCTGGGGTTGTGTGGCCTGGAGAAGAGAAGCTGGTGTGCGAGTGGAGCCGAAAGAGAGGGCAATCTTCAAACAGCACCAGCGGAAGGAACTTGTTCATTGTGGTCTTGACAGCTAGATCCAGGGAGCTTCAGAAAAACAGATTTGGGCTCAATAAAAAGAATTATTTAGTGAAAAGGCAGACAGAGAATGGGTTCCTGGGAGAGGACTGAGGTCTCCTAATTGGAGGGATACAAACCAAACTACTTACAGTATCCTGATCAAACCATTGTTTTGTTTTGTTTTGTTTTCTTGCCTTAACCCTTGTTATTTCCACTGCAACTCTGACAGGCCACTTCTTCCGTGCCATCTTGCCTGCTCAACTTTATTCATTCTTCAGCTTAAATGTCTCTTCTTTCATGTTATCTTCCTTCATTTCTCTAGGCAAAGAGATGGGTGCTCCGGCTCCATGCATCCTGTACACTTGTCATTTTTATACCATCCTACCACTTGCCACGTTCCTCTAAGTGCTAATTTCCCTTTTTACATAACACTCATATATATGTAAGTGCTACTATTGCAAATGTACTTGCCTGAAACTTCACCTCAACAATTACGTCACATATTCTAGTATCTGTGACCAGTGAGTCCTTCCTGTTGGACACAGTTAGGAAAGGAGGGAACGGGGTGTTGGGAATAAAAAAGAAACAAAGCAGATGAAATCTCAGGAGGGATCAGAAAGCAGAGAGCTGTAAACTCCAACCTCCGATGCACTTTGATGACCTTGGGACGTTAGAGGAAGGGAAAATGCACAGAGAGAGTGGAAAGTTTGAGTCTGGCATAGAGTTATGGTGGCCATTGATGGGAGGATTAATCTTTTTTCTATTTCAAACATCTATATTACCTCATTTTTTTCGTAGGTGGAAAACAAGAATTCTAAAATATTAATCACAAAAGCTATCAAACATTTCATGGAAGACCAAAACCAAGAAGACATTCCCTGTAGTATCTTAGTCTTACAAGAAAAATAAATTATAAACTGAACATTCTCTAGTGCGTAAGTGAATAAAAGTGGAAAATATGAATAGAACGGTGCAGGTGATTATTTATGTAAGTTTTGGACTTTGCCTTTTTTTCTTTTTTCTTAAATAAAAAATGTTTAATTGTACAATATTTCAACAATTCAGAAAAAAGAGAGAAAAAAATGACCATTACCAATGGACTCATCCACTGATTCAATGACACTTTAGCCTGAACTGAATCTTTGCTTCAGTTATTTTTTTCTTTTTTAAGAAATAAAACATTTTAGGGGCATTTGAAGCATCTCATTTCCTTCTTCCACCTCCATCACCAGAGACAGATAATAACCATCTTTCATATTTTACACAGACATGAAACTTTAAGCAACGTGTAGTAACAGTTGTACATCTTTAACTAAACAAAGTGGTAAATTACATTAAAAGATTTCCTAATGTAAGCCATCCTGCAACATTGGGATAAACAGTAATTGGGCAAAAATATTTTTTTTAATATTTTGATAGATTTAGCTTGCTAGTATTTTCTTTCAGATCACTGCATTCATATTCACAACTGTCAATGGCCTACAATTTTGCTCTGTTTTACCTTACTTGTTCAGTTTTTTTATCAAGGTCATACATATAAAATGATTGGGGCAGTTGTCCTTTTTCCATTCTTTGAAAAGTTTATACAAAGCAGTGCTTATCTGTTCTTTGAAGGTTTTGTAATCTCTGGCTGTGTCTGGCTTGTTTTCTGAAGGGGGAGGGGCCGGGTGAAAGCTGTAGATTATTAACTTGATTCACTTCTTTTGTGGTTACAGGTCTACTCAATCTTTTTGTTTCATCAGTTTTTGTAATTGATATTTTTCTAGGAAATTGTCCGATTTCTCTAAGCTTCCAAACATGCTGTCGGGAACTTATCCATAATGTTCTCTGATAGGTTTGTAAATCTGCATCCTTAGTTATGTCCTGTTTCTCTTCCACGCCTTCCCTCCTCCTGTCCTTGGTCATTCTCACCAGAGACCACTTTATCACTTTTTTCAAGGAACTAGCTTTAAGTTTGGTTGATTTTCTGTATTATTACTTTGTTTTCTAGCTCATTAATTGCAACCCTTATCTTTATGATTTCCTTCCTTCTGCTTTCCTTCCGCTTACTCTGTGGTTATTTTTTTACCATATTGTGTTGAGCACTTAGCTCGTGAGTTTTCAGTCTTTCTCACTTTCTCACATATGCAATTAAGATGATAAATATTCATTTAAAGTATCATTCAGGCTGTGCTCCATAGGGATTTTTTTTCCTGTTTAATTTTAATTATTTCAAAATATATATCATTTTTTTTTCTTTTGTTCTTTTAGTTTTTAATTTTTATTATGGAGAATTTCAAAGATATACAAAAGCAAACGTTACTTCATGTTGAATCATTCTGGAATGTTCCTAGTTCAACATGTAAATGGCCTTCCTAATATATGCTTTCAGGTAATAATGCTCCCTGGTTATTTTTATTATAGAAATCCATGTGCAAGTCTTATTTCTTCTCCTTGAAGATGAAAACTGTACCTTAAACATCTTGTATCATATATAGTGAATGCTCAACAAAATCTGGCTGAATGAATTTTTTTAAATTTCATATGACCATGTTCAAAGCAACCCATTTTGCCATAATGCAGCCTTAGCTTCACAGACAGTTAAAAATAATTGTAAAAACACAATCAGCATTTTTATCACTCCAGTTCCCATATTTGAACTTCCACAAGAGTTCAGGAGAGTTGAACAAAAGCCATTGGAGGAGCGATAAATAAAGCAGCTGCCTATGGAACGTGAGTCCTGCTTCTCCTCTCTGCCTGCCACCCCTTCCCCGTCCCCCTGCTTCTTTTCCAAGGGGTTTAGTGTGTGTGTGCTCCCAGGGAACACGCCATCCAAGCCGCATCAGCCGCACTGCTGAGCCCAAGAAAAGCACCACTGAGCTTCCACAGGAAAAATAAGTTGTTGCCACACGAAGGAAAAGATTCCAGAGCCTCAGCCTCCACCGCCACTGGCTCAACTGTGT